ACGAAATCAAGTGTCAAAATGGAGTCCAGTGGAGAATGCCGATATTGACATTTCGAAATTGCTCATCATTGATAGAGAATACGAAATAGTGATTTTGACACAATCAAAGTGTCTATTTTTTACGGTGATGACGATTCTTGGTTGTCAGTTGAGTTAGTGAATAGGCCTACTGATATGCTGTTAACTGTACAATTAAGAACAGTCACGCTTTAGTCAAATGTTCCAAAACAAATAATTTTAATTGATATCTAAATGTTAAGATTAAATATAATTAATAAAAGTATCAAAATTATTTTGCAGTACTACATTCAGTGTTTACTGCTTAAGAATTTTTGAAATTGCCGCCCTTTTCTTGTGACACGTTTCGCTTGCCAGACTCTAGTGAGTTTCTTAGAATAAAAGGTTGATTCGATACGTAATCAGCATATTAACGATTGGTTGAAGGAGTGAGTCAGGTCAGTTTTTATGAGTTTGAGTGAACGTCTCTGTTAAGTTTAGTATAGCATTTTCTCTCGCAACTTAGATGAATAATATTAATTATTCATTTTGATTGTTGACGGTTGAAGTACGGCGAAATGAGTAATAATAAAAATACAATAACCTGTTTTACAACAATTTTTAATTATTATAGCTTTCAATATTCGATCATTTATCATAAATGTTTCTCTCGATTCGGCCGACGAGGCACGCGCAAAGTGACCGACTCCCTTCCTCTTTTGTCTTACGCCTCGCTACATACTCAATCTTTGCATTTATTTCATTCTTTTTACTTCATCTCAAATGATGCACTTCGCGAATACCTCATAAGGTAAAACGAGGTCTTCATTCATCCTCAATAAAAATGTGTGAGTTCTTCTTCTTCTTCTTAACTTTAATGGCAATGTGTGAGTTACACAACCTTACATTTGATGATAGTTACCTTAGTATTACTCTATGATTGATGAGATGTCATTATACAACACTTATTCAGTTTTTTGACAAAATAGTTTGATAAAATAATTTGCCCAGCTGTTGGCATTCCTTTTTGAAAGTATGATTTATTAAGATTTAATAATCGAAATAACATAAAAGGAATGGACATAGACGAATCTGTTACTGGAATGGACATAGACGAATCTATTACTGTAACGAAAATAAATACTCCAAATGGACATTATTACTTGCTAATAGGATGGCAACCAAAATCCTTCGAAATGTATCTTTATACGAAAGATCAACTATGGAAAGGAAAGTTTTCATCCAAACGCTTAATAGAGTTCAGCAGAAATCTACACATGTCTGAAAATGAATATTATGAAAACTCTAAACGTTGCCTATCAAACCAAATTGAAGAGTATCAGTACGAACTGAAAAGTGGGTTCTTTTATTGGAAAAAGAAATATGCAGATTCGTCTGTGACAGAGGGATTTTTACCACTAGAACTAGACAAATCACCTTTACATACTCGACCTGATTTATTTGATATCCTACTGGTATTAAACACATATCTCAAAGAAAAACTCATTAATGCAAAACGAAATTATAAATCAATGAAAAAAGATTTCTTTAAATGCATTAAAGATACCGAAGAATTTTTAAATCTCAAAATAGAAATGGAAAAGACGCTTTGTGGAAAATTCTTATATTTACTGAATTCGAAAAGAAGTGGGACAAGAGAATGTCCGGATGATAATAATGTAAAAAAATAAACAACATTTAATATAAAATTAGCAATAGCAATAAATGTTGCGCATTTTAGTTGGTTCAAGTAAACAACATTTAATTAAATGAAATATTATGGTACTTGCGAAATTTGTCTAACTTTCACATTGCAAACTGAACAAGCTAACCAGTGTGCCATCGAGCTCATCTTAAACAAATAAAACACATTATTTTCATAAATTGTTTCTTTCGTACATACAAGAAGAAATATACCCCTAATAATATAAAATATAATCTCGTTGCCTTTAATCAATAATAGTAACAGCAACAGCATGTTTTTAAGTTATATATTTAACGGCCATGACTTTACGATTTTTACTTTTACTCTTAGCCACACTTTAATCAGTTAGTATCCATCACAAATTCATATAAAATAAAATATTATTTGTATTCTAGAGAATATATAACATAAACTGGTATAACGCTGTTTTATCGATTTGAAGTATGTCATATATCAACAATAGTTGTTATAAGTTATGGGCAGGGCATTCTATGAATAAATACGAGATTCCGTTCCATTTATATAACAATATCAATGTGTATCATTCGTTTCAAGTTTGATACTAAGCAAACATGTAAACAACAACAGCATCAAAAATTAAAGATGCTTATCATTCAATGTCTTAGGTATGAACACGTCTGAGGATACTTATTAGCGTTTTTAAACTGGGTGATAGGCGTGCGAGTAAATACGCGAACCAGTGGCTCGACGACCTTTTTCGCTCGTGTGTCACCTTAAATACACGTACTTTAAAATTGCCGCGCAAGTTTTCCGGCAATTCAAACGTATTGAAATTTTACTTATAGTTTGTCTCGGTCAGTTAGTCAGTGGAGGTGTAACCCTTCTTATTTTGATCTTATTTAATTCATTTTAATTATTTATTTATTTTTAATTATGGAAATTTCCTTCTCAACACTTAACTCTCTTGCTAAATTCATATGTGATAAACGTTCTCTTTTCGTTAATCAATTCCTTACCCACACTTTTTGATTTCGTTTTTAAAATGTAATATGATATAAATCCTAAATAACACAAAGCTTCTTCCGTCAACGACATCATAAAACAGTGTGAGGTAAACCATCTTCTCGTGTGTCCCCGCCGTCGTGCCGAGTAAGTTGGTGATCTTAAAAATCGCGTACTTAAAGTTCTTTGTACGTCTATCACCCAGTTTATATTGCTATTGTAGACAAATATGGAAAACATCGACAATCGATACGTTATTTCGAAATCAAATGTAAAGCTACTTTCACCTACCATCTTATACAGACAATATTTAAGTATTGTTTTCTATCTATAAATTGATAGATTTATAGATCTAGTAACCACTGACGAAGTCTTTGCTTACATTTGTACAAGGGTAGAGTAAGTTTATTATTTGCACTAATTTTCTTTTAGTCCGAGAACCGCAGACATAAAATTAATGTTTAGTTAAAGAAGTCATGGCGGTACACTTGCACATAGGGCTTCCGATCCCGATAATATCTTTTATTAGTTTTTAACTTGGAGAACAATATATATCATCAAAATCCACTTTGTAATTTTGAATTATTTTCAAGGCGTTTTCCCTATTTCTTGGATTTTTAACAATCTTAGTAAATGATTCTTTCTTTCTGTATTTCTTTTTGGCAGTTCTTATCAGCAGAAGCGGCAAAGTATTCTATTATCAGTAAATTACTATAAAGTACTCGATACCTACAGGCATCGATATTTTATGTATCTTTCTATCACTACTTTGACATGACAGCTGATGACGTCACAGGCCAGTAAACAGAATCGTGATTGGTTGTGGTGACGACCAATTATAGGACGTTTGCGTCGTTGAATAAATTCCTAAAAATATTGCATTTTCTTTACGTTACGTTTACGGATATTAAGAAATAAGCTTTATTAGATTATTATCTATCAGGATGACCCCAAAATGCAACTTATTTTCGATAGTGTCAAATACCCTATTGACGTTTAGATCCAACAATTTGTGCTGCCATCTAGTGACATAAATTTTTGTAGTTTCTTTATTTTTTAAATACTTCCTCATTACCGGTATTAATACTTATTTTCCGAGACTACTCGTTACTCCCTTCTAAAGTCTTTGTATTTACTCGTATCGTTTTATCCCTAGGAAGATCACTCGTTGATTTATAAAATAAGTACATAAATTCAAAATTGACATATTTTATTATTGTTTCTTTACGTGTAAAGATCACAAACGTGACATTGGAGGAATTGTGTAAACGCAAATAGATTATAGTATTTTCTTCTTAGTCTGTGCAAATAGTAATGATAGGCCATGAATTAAAAAAGAAGAAAAACACCGGCTGCTAGTTGAATAATTTACAATTTGGATTAAAATAATATACTTTATCATCTATATAAAATTTTGGTTTTGCCCTCCGATCAAAAAAGGAACCTATTTTTAAGTCTGTATGACATTAAAAATCTAACCTAAATGCTATGACCAATCCCTAAAGTAAAAGAAATTAATACGTAATGTAAAATTGGATTCGATTTCATTGTAAATGGGCTTACAAAAAGTTACACGATGCCAGAACAAGCATGAGACTTCTATTAAACTTAACATAGTGTTGAGTACAAGGCCTCTATTTATTGTCAAGAAAAATCCTGTTTTAAAATTCAAAAATGGATAAAGGCATCAATAATGACATTTCTGTTACTAAACTTCTCATAAAAGGAGAAAACATATACCTAAAACTTTGTTGGGAAAAATCTAAAGATTTTTTATTTAATGTCACATTGTATGATAGTAATAATAACAGTTGGTCTGGCCAGTTTTCTTCAGAATTTGCAAGTTTGATTGATGAACCAGAAGAAGAATACAAAAATAATGTTAAAAATGGACTTATGGGCAAATGTAGCGATTTTGTGTTTAACTTTGTTCATGTGCCTGGACAAAGCACTGCAAAATTTACTTGGACAAAAATTTTTGATGATTCAACAGAGATGCCTTATGGTTTTGTAGATCTCCACCTCGACAATGAGATTGAATCAAAAGACAAATTATTAGACCATTTGCTAAATGAGAATAATTAATTAAAAGACCTTCTAGAAATATATAACAGAAATAATACAGCCCTTAATGATAAAGTTGAGAAGTGTAAAAGTGAATTACAAGAATTTGTAAATGAGAAGATAGCTTTAGAAAGTAATCTGTATGGAAAATTTGTACAATTGTTAAATGAAAAAAAAGAGCGGATAAGATTGCTCGAAGAAAGTATACAGAACATGGAATGAAAACACCTATAATCATAATGAAATAGATAATAAAACAATAATAGTTTTTGAAACAATAAATTATTTATTCATATCAAATGTCTTTTCAGTCAGTATTTATTTAATAACTACGACCAAAAAGAGTTATAAATTTCGGTTTACTCTTGCAAGCTGGATGGATGCACACATCAGCATCAGAAATTTGACGTGGAGGTTCAAATGGTATACACAAAGACTTAGCACCCATGGCAGGCGCTTTCACATCACTAGTTGCATCATCATCATTTCTGTAAAAAAATACAATGATAATTAAGACATAATGTTTTATTTATTAACAAAATTTATAAAAATGTTATAATTATTATACTTTTTATAAGCACAAACCTTGCACTATCTTTTTTGATGTTGTCTTCACATGATATTTCTCCACAGAAGGGTGCCATAAGAATATGTTTCTTTTCCAAAGCCTCAGTGAAATCACTCCATTTTGTGTGAATTGATAATCTTTCATCACGATCCTTTGTTGCTCTATTATAGATAATTGAGAGACAGAAGTTAATAAACGAAATAAGTATTTCTATAAAAACAATTTATATATTGTAAAAATTGTATTATAAAAACAAGTAGTTTGAGTTACAACTTGCACAGCATCCTTAGACTATCAAAATTAACGAATATCCAAATTTATAGCACAGTCATTAGTGAACTTGTTAAAACAAAATTGACAAATCACACCCACAAAAGGTTTCTCCTGCTTAGTCTTAGTCAACAAAGGTAGCCAGGAATTCCATTCATAATATCTGTTGATTTATTCATTCATTTTCTAGACATTCCTTGTCCCACTATTATGGGGTTGGATAATGGGTAACTGCCACTGCCAATGCATTAACTCCACTGGCAATTTGTTACAAACTGATAAATTCATGACATTAGGAATAAAAAAATAATTCCGAAATTCAACAATAATGGCACTGCATATAATAAATAATAAATTCATTTATTTTCTCTACACAATAGGTTTTTTTTTTAAATTCATTATAGGAATTTCAATCATTCATGTATAAATCCTTACTGTGAAGAGCTGGTGCCTGAAATGGGTAATTTTTACAAAAGCCGTTCCACGGGTCACCAGCGCTCCGACCCATATCCGGCGGACATTTCTGAATATAATTTGGAATAAGAATATACCAGTAGTTGACTTTGAACAAAACCATATAATCAATTTGAAAAGTAAAGCCAGCTATATACGCTCAGGTACACCTGCACAAGTCACCTATACAGATAAACCAGAGCATGTATGTCGTAAAAACCTGCACAGTTGTGCGGCATACATGCTTCGGCATGCCTGAGCATATATGGCTGACTTTACACAACTATATGGCAAGCTTGTGCTCAGAGAATTTATTAAATCAACGAGGTTCACTATTCTTGATCTTAATCATGTAAAAAAAACAAGTAAATGCTCTTACTTGGCAAACATTTCATCGTGTGTTTTCTCTAGTAAGGCGGCGAGTTCACCAGGAGCTTGCGTCCGTTTCAACGTAAGCTTATCACCTGTCAACCGCCTAACTGCTACGATCTCGCCACGTGCCATGTCCTTGGGGCCCAACTCTACACGAATTGGCACACCCTACGTAAAGAAAACAAAAATATTCACAGTGCACAGATTTTTTTTATGGATGGAAATCTGATTTAGAAATACCAAAATAGGAGAAAAGAATCCTACAAAGAAATAGTTTCATTTAAATTATTTGAAAATCTTTAAGACAATACTAAGGTTTAGGTTGAACAGAGTCCCTGGTGTGTGTTACTACACGTATTATAGGGCAATTTTATCTATAAAAGTTTCTATTAACATTGTTATACTTCCACAACATCTAGTTACAGAGACCACTAATAATAATTTCGCAGAGTAGTTTATTTTAATTAAATGAAGGAATTGAAATTATTTTTCTCTAGCTTAATTTATAACAAACAAAACATGGATAACACTACCTTTAGTTCCCAATGGTTGAACTTCCAACCGGGCGAATAGTTGTCTCTATAGTCTCCTTCAGCGCGGATACCGGCAGCGAGAAATTCATCCACGAGGTTCTTACACGAGTCAATGAGGCTCTTCCTATCGTCAGCTGTACTGGAGGCCGTGATGCCACACGGAACAACTATCACCTGGATCTCTGCCACGCGTGGTGGTAATACTAAACCGCGATCGTCGCCGTGAACTAACACCATTACACCTTAAAAAATACACTATTCAGTAAAAAAAGTTACGGCAAATATTGTATATTAACATTCTGCCTGCTCGATGAAACTTGATATTTCCTATCCTAGACCTCCCGATGTCTCACCGATAGTCCTCGTAGTAATACCCCAGGAGTTTTGATAGACGTACGCCTTTTCCTGCGTATCGGGGTCGTCATATACTATCTCGAACATTTTGGAGAAGTTTTGTCCTAGGTGATGGCTGGTGGCACCCTATGAAATAATAATATAACATGTATATAAATCACACAGTAATATATTTATAGAAATTTTTGATATATGATTAAATATTAATATAGTATTGTGAATGCAAAATTGATAAAATAGTATATTAATGTGTTTGTAATCGAATTTTATTTCCCATGATTTAATAGACTGCTATTAAGCGATTTCATGATCAACTAAACCCCATGTCATGTTTAAATAGATTTGTGCTTGGCTAATTTGATAAATGATAACTCGGTATGGAAATAAACTATTATACATTCAATTAAATGTCTAACGAGAACGATATATTAGACTAATCAAGAGCGTCACCAAGGGGGGGCAGGAGGAGCCCCTAGAGATTAGATCGATCATTCCCGTACGTCGAAACTCGAATGAACTTACCAATTCTATTCCTACACTCAACAACGCTCTGCTCAATGCTATTGTTAAAGCAGGTGAAGGGTGGTATACATTCAAACTCCCAAATTATTTTTATTCCATTTCTAATAAATGTAATAAATTATTTACAGATTTTGTTTATTCTACAGTCAAGAACTCGTGTCTTTACAAGTTGGACTATGTACCGTTATTATTATAATTACCGTCTATGTTAGGCTCGAACTTCAAGTAAAAAGCTTGTATGTGCTCTCGACTTTAGCTACACTTCATATTTAGTCCATTCTACATAATAATTTTGCTCCCCTCTCCCATTCTGACCACCGGGTAGCAACACCCCTGATTCTGGTTAATCCCATCTTCTTTGTATTAATTTATGAATACCTGAATGCCGCGTCCACTGGCTGGTATGTACGCCTCCACGGTGGTGGTATAGTCGCCACCAGCAAATTTCTCCTTCTCCGTCTTCCGGCCCTTGATCACTGGAATCGCTAGCAATTCTTCGTAAACACGCGCGTACAGATCTGTTTTGTATGACACAACATTTAGTAATATTCCACTAGTCGATCATAAAAAAACCTTTTGATCTCATATATAACTTCACGCATATCCCTCGAGGGGTAAGTAGAAAGAAGTCTTGGTTACTTGGCTCAGCAGTTTTTATAGTTTTGACGTCATTGATCAATTTAAATTTGACCGTGTATGTACTAAGATAAAAAGAGCAATCAAAGTAAAGTCATAACGATAGAACGTGTGCGAAAAGAAAATTATGTCCTACTTATTTTTTATTTTTATATTAAGAGAAGACATTTAAATAAGTATATTGCACTGACCTAATATCTGCAGTACTTCTTCACCAGCTTCTTGCGGTGTTCTGAAGGCGGTGTGTCCCTCTTGCCAGAGAAACTCGCGCGTGCGCAAGAACGGTTGCGGCTGTTTGAACTCCCATCGCTAAATATATACAATACATGTAAATCTATCTATATAAATAGAAGGCAGAGAGAGATGAATTACTGATCTTTCAATGCACAGACTGAACTTTTAGACGGATCGAGCTTAAATAAATGCACAGTAGTTATGACGTCAAGATTATTTAAGTAAAGATTTCAATAAAATTAAAACTCAAAGGAGGTTAAATAGGAGTTTAAAAAATCGTGCACCTTCTACGCTGAAAAAGCTGCGTGAGGAAATATTTTGCATATATGTGTATAACAACTATATACAAAATTCAAAAGCCATGTCATTTATCAGTTAAAAAAATGTATGCCATTGTTTGGTAGATTACGGTTGTGAGACCTTATACTCAAAATAACCGGTACGAAATTAGGATTGTCTTTCTCTAACAGTTTTATTTAATTCATAGTAATCATACTGAAAAATTACTTCAAGTAAGCAGCCAGGAAAACGAAACCAATTCCAAACTTAAAGATATCCAATTAAATACCATAAGTAGACCTAAGAACTAAATTCTATTTCCTCAAACCGAATTGTCACTGCTTATACGTGTTGTAATGGTGTGTCATACCACACCGTTTATTTTGTCCTAGGTACCCGCATCTAAACTTTTTGTCTTTGATCTTTAACATCATTTATTTTTATTATATATTTTTCGTAATTTCTACGATATCCACTTTCTGACTGTACGTGAAAATTCGTCCGGCGTGATGTAATTTAAACATATGTAATCAGTAAAGAAACATATAAACATATATCTATAAGAAGTATCTAAGTCCTACCTATTATAAAACCCAGAAAAGATTTTTTTTGTTTATCCATAAATATACCTACTTATCAAGCCTAGTCAGCCGTTTCATTTTCTACCAAAACCTAAGCACTGTCCAAAACTCGCCACACGTATACGCACCACTACGTTATTCCACTGGTTCAGCTTGTAAGGCAAGTCCCGATGGCTCTGTATCCATCGTGCGTACGCGGGATACATAGCTGTCTCAGATGTGGGACGGATGGCGATGTGTTCAGCTAACTCGGACGAACCAGAGTGTGTAACCCACGCCACTTCCGGTGCGAAGTCAGCTATATGAGTCTTCTCGCGTTCTAATACGGCCTACAAACATGGAAAACTTAGTACTTAAATGTATAAATAATATTGATTTCTTATTTTGTCAAGCGACTTAAAGATGTTTTATTTCTATTTGATAATTATAGCCTTTTTTAGATAATATTACGGTGGCCTTTGATTGACCTAACGAGGCCCTTTTCTTTCAATGCTTCTTCTCAAAATTTATTGAAAAAGTTTGTTCTATAATTTCTTTTTTGTAACAAAATCAAATCTGCAACTTTATTATTGTATTCCAACAATTTGACGATAAGTCTCTGGAGATTGTTTAGTAAAAACCCCACCATTAAAACGGACAAGGCGATTTAATGCGCCCCTGTCACGCCTCTGTTAAAGAATAGATAAGTTAAAGATATAGGCCTTAGCTGCACAAACTCAGCATATATACGAATCATGTGTATAAAATCTGCTTAAGAACTATTAATTACGGTAAATAAGTACGTTATTGAATTCATCATAATAAGTGAAGCATTAATTTACAACAACGATCTTACCTTTGATACGAATATTGGAAAATAGCCATCTTTAACGCCGAGCTTTTTGAATTGACCAGAGAGGAAGTTACGTATCCTATCCCATATGCAGTACGACCACGGCCGCAGGATGTAACAACCGGAGATGTCGTAGTAATCAATCATCTCGGCTGCAAAAAAATAGGTACAATCAACAGCACATCAGGAGTTCGAACGCCTAATTCTCTAGCCATTACTCTCTTCATAGGATATGACATATTAGCGATATTGCTACGGTATTTCGTTTCTTTTTACTACTTTGACATGTACTTTATTAACAGTGATGTCAAATCCATAAACAATGAAGTTTATGGATTTGACATCACTGTTAGCAACGTCGTTTATCCACCAAAAGTGATGTCATAGTAGTAGTTTTGTTAAAATATCGAAATTATATTCATTTATTTATTTATAAGGTAACACAACAGACATTAAGCAATATATCTATATTAATATCTAGCTGACCCGGCGAACTTCGTACTGCCTTATTTATATTTTTTTATATACAATGTTGATCTAAATTACATGCATAACGTATCTAACTTATTTATTTGAATAAGGATTAATACTGTATTGTTAAAAATAGGTTCATAAATAATCCATTGTTTTACTATTTTTAGTAAACGCAAAAAAAAATGGTTGTTATGGGTTATCCTTGGAAGATAGACACATACCGCCGCGGACTTTTCTGTAGATGTATTAAAGAGGTACAATTTCACCATACGTTGTTTGTTATAACTCAAAACTTTTTGGCAGCGTTTTGGAGGAAGGCTTCCAATCGGCTTTATTTTTTCCGACATATTGAATAATATGGTTGTAATATCGTCAGTTTGTAAAAACCTAAACTTACTATACATTAAAACCTTCCTCAATAATTGCTCTATCTATTGTTGAAAACCGCATGAAAATCCGTCAAATACTTTTCGAGTTTATCGCGAACAGACAGACAGACAGAAACGGCGGGGGCCTTTATTTTATAATATGTTTGTAGTATAAGTAACAACTGTATAGTTCTAAATTAATATCCTAAGTGTTTACTCAATAACATATGATTGAACGGAATGAACTAATTTATGAAGAGTTATTAGTATATTGAATTCACTCAATCTGTCCTCAAACTTTATACTCAATAGTTTTGTGAAATCCCTTTGAAGTCACTCAATTGCCATAAAGTGAATATTGTAGAAAGGTCTCCAAACCACCGAGCAGTATTCGATTTTACTTCTGACTAGGGAATAGTATGATAAAATCAAGCTTTTTTCCCTATAAAAAGTCTTTAGTTAATTCTACAGATAAAAAATATTTTCTAAAATGTCGTATCCTATCGTTAGAGAATTTAACGGTTGCACCATAGGTTATACAAAACTCTTTAATTATACAAGTATAATCTAAATACCTGAAGTCTTATGTACAAAAAAATATTGACACAAAACACAGAAAACGTCTTTCTGTGTTCTGTGGTTAAGTAGATAAAGCCTATCATAGGTACTTACATTTTGTGATGACCTGCGTGTACCACTCTGGCAAGTCTACATCTTTGCTTGCCTCCAAGCCTAACCTGGTAATCTTCTTGGGGCCTGATGATGATTCCTCTTTAGAAGGTTTTGGAGACTAAAAATAAGACAAATATAACATGAGGTCTTTCGAAACAACAAAATTTTCACCCATCTATGAATGAAGGGGTATTTTCTCCTCCCTTGCTGTTTGGATGAAGTTTGGATTTCGACTAGAAAAGAATATACTTTCTGGTAAATGAAAACTGCTATGTTGATTTTCATAACGGCAGGTTGTTATAAGAACCTATATCTAATGAAAGTTGATACTGACAAAAATTGAAGTGGTAACACTCAGGTAGGATAAAAACTTTATGAAGCTTACTTATATATTCGATAAATACATTTAGATATATTTAAAAAGTAAGTAATTGATCTAAATTAAAGAAACTACGATATCCAGCAACTCAAAACTGCAAGACTTGCTGTGCGCTACCCGTACAAAATGCACATGTACAAACGGCAACAAATGTCGCAACACCCACGAGTTGATATAACTTTCAGCGCTAACTACCAAGTCACTAGTTTCACAGTTATAGCAATGACCTTCGACAACGCCCGATTCTACAAAATCCGAATATTTATATAAAAAATATTATCCGATATATATCTATCCGATTCATGGCTTTTGGCGCTAAAGTCCTATAGAGTGTACACTTAAAACTTACCGGCTCCTTTGGTTTGACCTCCTTGGGTTTGGCTTCCTTGGGTTTGGCTTCCTTGGGTTTCTTTTCCTTAGGTTTGTTTTCGCGTGCCTGTGAAGGCGGCGCATACGCAGCACCAGTCTCCGTTTGGTATTGCGCCTTCAATTCCAGCAATTTCTTAACTTCCTGGTCTATGGTGGCCTGATGGAAATGAAAATAATTAATCCCAATGTAAAAAATTATTCCACGACATGTGTGAAAACTTTTGTACTACTGGTACTTCATTCCGGATCAGTTACTTAAGTACTCGATGACCATAACAGAAGGTATATAAATAACAACAAATTATTAAAAATTGAATTGTTTCATGAATGTGAACGGAAACCGGTTAGGAAGCCCAGAGAAAAGATGAATGGACTGTGTGAAAAGTGAGATGTCAGATAATCGAGATGTATGGCAGAATAATTGTGCCGTTCTTAAATAAATAATTGATATATAACACATGACTTACCTTATCTGCCTTTTTAGCCTTAAGGTCCCTGACTAGGTCTCCCTGCTTAGCTATCTCGGCCGCTAGTACTGTAGCCTTGTCATTAGCACCGTTCATTGTGGGGGTATTAGTAGACGGACTCTAAATAATGAGAACGATGAACAGTATGAGTAAGCAAACCATTGCCTATCAAGATTATTTTATTTGGCTATTTGAAAGTTATTAGTATTCTGATGTTTAGAAGTGGGTGGTTCAATTTGATAGGGTCCGTTGTGCTGTATACGTAATATAACATTAATATGGTGCTACCTCCTACAAAAAAAAATGCGATAGCGGGGAAATTTCGCAAATGACATTAAACAAGCAATATGTTTGTTCTATCTAATTAAAGGTTTGTTTATTTACCAACTTTATCAAGAGCTGATAAACAAGTGCCTGATTTGAGACTATTCGCGTAATTCATAATTTTCGGAATTTCCCAGTTTTCGTAAGTTACCCAAAGCACCTTATAATTATCAATACAATTACAATTGCCGACAAGAAATTAAACACAAAATATGTCTACTGCACAAGCCCAAAAGTAACAAAGGTGATGTATCACTGTAGTCTGTTTTTTTTTATCTGACAGTCTGTAGTCTGAACAGACTGTCTGTTTTTTTTTCTTAATAGAACTCATTGATGATACCTGTGATTTCTTGTTGGCAGGGGCAGCTGTATTTGGCGTCCAGTCGGCACCGGTGGCCGATTTGTACTGGGCCTTCAATGAGAGCAAGGTTTTTACCTGCAAATATTATTTACATTATAATAAGTGAATACGGAACCTATGAAGGATCAGAAACTGCTAAAATGAAATACATAGTTTTATTGAATTAGTAGTGCGCGAGAAAAGATAAAAAAAAACCATTACATTTTATATATAGGAGAAACTAGCCTAAAACGGGTGGCCCGCCTAAAACCCGGTAGGTAGTTTTACGCTTCTACGTCATACTTGAGTGTTGACGTGTGTGTGTGTCGAGAGTTGTCACCAACCGAACAGCTTCAATCAGTTCCGCTAGGGCGCTAAAGTCGCGTCATAGCGTAGGTGTGTGTATCAAAAGTTTTTTTGGTAGTTTTGTTAGAAAAAAGCAAGGTAAGTCTTTTTAAATTAGTCGGAAATGTTTATAATTATTCGATTGTTGTTATTGACATTTTAATTTACTTCTATCTGACTGTGGAATTCCACAATTTCTTTTGTTGTTTCAATTTCCATTTCGAGGTTATTATTATTTTACTTAGCAAGGTACTCTTGGGCAAAACGGGTAGGGCAAAATGGGTACCAGTCTTGAATTAATGAATGATTTATTGAACACACCATTATCACATAATAACAATTCATTCATTTTCAACCCTGAATTCATTTTCAATATAATTCATCAGGTTTTATTGGCAAAGGAAGAAGCTAAATCCTCTTCGGTATCTGCTGCCGCGAAGAAGTATGGGTTTACACTGTCTTTGCAGCGATATATTAAATAGGGAAGTTCTGAGAAAAGTTCTGGTAGGTAACTGCCTGTAGAATTACAGGACATGCAGAGAATACGTGTGCTACACCAGTGAATGCTACTTTTCTTCGTCCAGTATATCCTCACGTCCTCTCTCCTTGCGTTAAGCCTGCAGAAACCAGACCTTTGCCAACACTAAGCCCAAAAAAAAACTAACCGCAAGCGTAAGATTAAAAAAGCTGAAGTTTTAACTAGTACACCTATGAAAGAGAAGGAAGAGAGAAAAAAAAGAAAAGACAAGAAAAAGAAACTAATTAAGGTATCGGTTGGAAAAAAACGGCAATAATAAATCATCTACTAATAAGACAAAGAAAGTTAATGGAAAAAAAAAAATAAAAAAGTAACAAATTAAGTAACAAAAAAACCTCAGAAGTAACAAATTACAGGAGATTGTAATGAATGGCCCACGAAGCATACACTTCTTACAGCCAGTTGCACAAACGTCCATTAACATTTTCATTAGTTTAAAGCAACATTACCCATACAAATTAGACATTTATTAGAGCTTAAAGGCGTCTTTAAACCTTAATGGACGTTTGTGCAACTGACCGTTACTCAGGTGTAGGGTCTTATTTTTGCGATTTGTACCGGGTATAACCGTTTAAAAAAAGTGTACTTGTTTTGCCCTAAGCTTACCTGTTTTGCCCAGAGGGGGTTACCCGTTTTTGGTCAATATGCGGGCAAAATGGGTTTTTGGAGACCTTTTGTATTTTTCAAACAAAATAAATATGTTTCATAAAAAAAATCAATTGGTATTTTATTTTATAATTTGATAAATATCCTTTGTATTAGTGTGAATTAAGTTCAGAATTCAAGTGAGCGTGACATTTTTTTTTTACATTCCCGCATAGCTTATATATATATATATGTGTGTGTGTATTAAAAAATCATCTCGTAACAGCATTGCGCCGGCCTACCTAATTGTCATAGGATAGGACATCTTAGCGATGTTTTGGCGATATTACGTTTCAACTTACTATTCTGATAGACCTTTTGATGATGGTGAATGATTAGTCATTTACTAATTTCTTAACACAACTGTCAAATTAAAAACCGTCATTCTTTATCATTCGTTCGTCGTTATTAAAAAACAAAAAAATTAACGAAATTTCGCCAAGATGTCGTATCCTATGGCTAGAAGGTAACGCGGTCGCATACTAATATAAAGAGGTCGATATGAAGGAACTAAAGAAAAAATATACATTTATAAAAGTTATATACAGTTTTTATGTTTTTCCTCCAAAGTACCGACAGGAGCCAATCAAATTGAGCACAATGGTTGTTTAGATATAGGTAATAACTCAATCACACTGTACCTCCGCGTCAACAGTAGCCTTGTCAGCTTTCTCAGTTTTGAGTTTGCGTACTTTGTCACCTTGGGCGGCTATTTGGGTAGATAGGCCGTCAACACTATTGTTTGCCTGCTGCGGAGTTGGCACAGACCCCGGTTTCCAGTCCTGAATAAAATGTACACAAGTATGTTGCTATATTAGTGACATAAAAATATATCAACATTATCCTTATTCTAGAGGTTTAATTTTTTTTTATCGATAGGTCCTCATTTAATAACATTTGTCCAAGTGACATAACTCTCGAGGCATAAGATATGACTTCTTAGCGAATGTTATGACGATTATTCGTTTATTTACCACTTTGACATGTTTTTGGTGAATAAATTTGGGTAAAATGACTAAATTTTAAACCAGCAGTGTTTCCAATTTAGTTCTAATCCAAATTCATCATTCTTTATCATTCGTTCTTCGTAAAGTACATCTCAAAGTAGCAAAATGAAACGAAACAGCGATATAACATCGCTATCATCGGTGCTCTGATGATTCCGCGAGGAGAAAATATTTAATTGATGAAAATAAGCTATAACGAGTAAAGCAAAAATATTTGTATGATTATGATTTATGTACATTCAATAGCACTTCAGGTGTCATGCAAACTGTCTCTACTTGATTTTAGCCGCAATTAATAAAGTTCCAAATTATTGCGTCAAATCAAAATTTTATTGTAACTAGAGGTAAGTTATGTTTATATTCAGAGTAAGTGCAATTTTTACAGAAGATCCGTCTAGGGAGTTACGGAAGTTGGTATAGATATCTATACGTTAGTACATGACCGAATTTACATGAAGTGCAAAAAATATGTAAGTCATATAATTTGCCAGTTCTGACGAGTTTCACGACTGACGATACGCAACCTATCTTACGTCAAATATACATTAATCCCTTAAGTTTCAGATATCTATGATCAAACCTCTATTAGATCGATATACTAATTAAGCTCTTTTAACAATTTTTAGTATAAAATGTATAAAAATTACCTTTTTTTTATTCACATCAGTTTATTGTAAACTTACAAAATTCTCCATATATTATACTTAAGCCATTGTACAGATATGCTCTTACAGTACACTAATGATTGAAAAATTAAGGAATATACTATTTGTACAGTTGTTTCATACTGTACAAGTGGTAATGTGGACTAGAGTTGCGTTCACGCTATAATCTATGGTAAAGATTAACGAAATCTGCTGATATAGAATTTAGATAAGTGCTTTTAATTTACAGTTTTATAGCCAATATATTGTTATTTAGATACAAATTTTATTTTCGTATTTTAAAAACGAGTGGCTGTGATGTAATCGTAGCGTCGGAACTGGAAGCGTTCTTTCTATAAAGTGGAATAACAAATTTCCTAATGCTTCGCAATAAAACACTTAACAACTTTTTCTGGCCATTTGGGTTTTGAATTAAGGTTTAATTACATTAGACGTATCCAATGTATGAAAAAACGTTAGGGACAGTCGATAGCACTATCTAGGGCCTCAACTCTGTTAATTTCTAAAATACTCGCATCTCAATAGAATTTCAACTCCATGCATTTTATTATTGTATCTACCTGAAGTATTAATATTATTAGTGCAATGTCTTCTTCACAAATCAATGGTAGATAGATATATTTATATATTAGTTTATGATCTAGTAAGTAACAAGAACTGTATCATAAGGGTTGTAATTAAAGCCCTATTGACTTCAGCAGAATTTCCCTACTGAACTTAACTATTTATAGATAAAGGGTCAAAATCCGTTGAAAAAATGTAGCTGTTGTAATAATATAATGTGCTATTGTTTGTCTACTTTAAAAGATTTTTATTGCCTATAATTACAAGTTGCCCTTATATGCACTTCTTCTCTGATACCTACATATAAGCATTTTCTTCATTAAAATGATAAATACTTATTTATATCAATCACTTGGACATCACTATATATGACGTAATGATTTGATACAATGTAACACATACCTATTAACTATAATAATTTTACACGCAATGTGTGATTTACAATCAAAGGGGTAATTTGATTTCCTACGATTAAAATAGTTATTTTATTAAATAGGTAAATAATAATAAAAACTATAATTTATAACGTTAATAAGATTGAGAATTTAATGTAACTCAATCTTATTAACTTTATAAATTATAATTTTAATTTAACAATGCCATACTAAAAAAATACGTTTTAAGTTTCTTTCACTTACCTGTCCCATAGCTGCCTTATATTTTGCCTTGAGGTCTAGTAAAACTTTGACAGCCTCGTCTACCTTGGCCTTTTCGGTTTTGGCGGCCTTCAGTGAGCGGACGAGATCGCCTTGCTTGGTAATTTGTTGGTCTAAATCTTTGCTGCTGGTCACTGTGCTTGAAGGAGCTAGAGTTGATCCGGGCTTCCAATCCTTAGCCAAAGAAATAAATTATTAAACATATTATCATCACCAGCCTTGCTGGGGCACAGACTTTCCCTATGTATGGAACGGAAGCGAATCGAATTGGGAGAACGGTTATGAACGAACCATCATTATGAGTCAGGATCCAGTCCGGATTGGTGGATGTTAACGACTGCAGATCCAACCGGGACCTACGGCTTAACTCGAGCACTAGGATAATAATCTTTTATCACCATCTTGTGCTTTATTGTGCACTTTCACATTTCTTAAATAAAAGTACAAACGTCTGTCGTGCAAAAATGGGTATTTTCTTTCACTTGTATTTTCAATATTTTAAGTCATTATTTATGGCGGTGAGTAAAATTGTTATTTTCCATTGCGCACAATGAAGACCATGTTTGACATATAATTTCACAAGTAACGAGCAACCTATACCAAACAAACTAAATTACGTATTTTTTTATGAAATGACATATACGACAGTGGCGGATAATTCTTTATCGACATCGTTTTATCAACAAAATTCTGAATCCAGTTCATGAATAAAGAAATTATTCTAGTTTTAATTATGCTGGTATATATTCTAATTTCTTTATTTTTGTTTTGGGCATTGAAGATACCCGTAAGATCCTAATATAAAATAGCGATGGATGGACGCTACAGGTAGAAGTGAAGAATTGGTTTCCGTTTGCGATAGATAATTTGGGGTCGATCAATAGAGAGTAGTCTTTCATCACGATGACGCTAAAGCAAATCTTCACATCTTTAGCCACCGAGCAAGTTATAAGCGTTGAGCGGAGTTATTATTGCATCCACCATACTCAAACTTGCATCTTCAGATTTCCATCTACTATTCTTTAGCAGAGTCAAGTTAACATCAAGAGAGTTTTGCCGAAACTACTTGTTGCTTTTTTAATGTAATGAATGGTAGTTGTTTACTACTACACTAATTACACTAATTTTTTTTTATTTTACAGATCTTTTTAAGATTTTTATTGGGATTGAGATATAGGCACATTTTGTGGACATATTATTGACTTTTACCAACCTTTCCTGTAGCAGCCTTATATTTGGCCTTTAGGTCAAGTAGAACTTTGACAGCCTCGTCGACCTTGGCCTTCTCAGCCTTCGCGGCCTTCAGTGATCGGACGAGGTCACCTTGCTTAGCGATCTGCTGGTCGAGGTCTTGGCCGCCTGTTGAAGGAGCAGTTGCCGATATCGCAGAAGGCTTCCAGTCCTTGATGAACATTAAATTTTTTATTAATTTTTGATGGCCTCAAAACTGAAGAATGTGTATAACTAGGTAACTGAACGCAGCATTTATGACATTATCGGTATGAAAACGGTGTATAAAATATATTAGGGTAGTTTTGGTAGTAAAAATTAAGTAAGAAATTGTACAAAAACTAAAATTTACATCGTAATTAACATAGAGATTCTGATTTTGAATCTTAAAATCGCACGATCATCTTAACATCTTATAATCAAGTCATTTTTTTTTTGTCCGTGTGTAACGTGACTTGAAACACTGCCCGCCATTGTGTAACGTCAATGTGGCGACAACTGTCAGATTACACATAAGATAAAATATGCTTAATAATTATAAATCAAATTCCTAGATGGTGTTGTTTTTAGCTTATTTAAATCTTTTATTTCGAAATCGATCGTTAGATGGCATTGTTCTTTTTTTATTGGCATCTTTTAATCTTCTACTCTATGCATCGGACAGCGTTTCCGCAGGTATAATTTTTAATTTTGATTAATTTTAGGCAAGAAAACGTGTTTATTTTTCCGAAATTTATTATTGGATTTATTTGTGGAAGACCCGAAAACAATGTATTGAAGCACTCACCTTTCCTGTGGCAGATTTGTACTTTGCTTTGAGTTCTAATAGGGTCTTAACAGCTTCATCAACCTTGGTTTTTTCAGCCTTAGCAGTCTTAAGTGACCTGACGAGGTCGCCTTGCTTGGTGATCTGTTGGTCAAGATCTCTGCTGTCACCAGAAGGGGCAACGGATGCTGTTGTCGCACTAGGCTTCGACTCCTTGGGTAACATAAAACAAACCAGAACAGGGATACAGTGTCCATGTTAATGAGTTTAAAATGTTAAATGAACTAATTAGTGGTCAAAATCTATACTAATATTATAAAGAGGTAAAGTGTGATTGTTTGTTTGTTTAATAGACTCAGAAATATATAAATCATTTAAATATAGATGTATGACCGAAGGACAGCGTAGTTGTATCCACTGATCATAACAAAACAAAATGCTGTGTTATACGACTATGCTATCCTTTGGTCATCGCTATTATAATGTAGCTATCGAAATAAAATAAAATTCTTGTTTCAAACTTTTTAGAGTGTGATATATCTGTAGTCGGGTTTTAGTTTTTGATTATATTGTTATGAACATCGCACTCTTGAGTAATAATAATGATAAATAATGAAAATTGAGATAATCTTGTTTCCCTTTAATTAGGGTTCCGTCAAGTATTTCGCTTTACAAAAGGATTCTGTCACTAAAAATGGTTTAAGAACCTCTGACCTACGGAAAGCTACATCATACTATAATTTGAGAGATTGAAATGCTATAATTTACACGGGCGAAATTGTGGATAAAGAGCTATTGTACCGAATAGTATTTAAAACGAGTTGTCGACATGAATAATTTTACGCTAAATTAATTCCAAGAATCTATTGTGCACAGCATATTGATATTGTTTTTGCAGAGCAACGTTTACAAGTTATTTGAAACCAACCTATTATTATGTTTTGTTGTATAAAGGAACTTAAGTACCAACGTACCTAAATACATTTATAGATAAAATTAGATTTTTACAATGGGATAAGAAGGTATTACACTCATATTCTAATAGTTAAATAAAAAATTGTTTTGTTTTATAACTGTGTTAAAATGCTTTTAACTTATTGTTGAAGACCCGAAAACAATTTATTGAAGCAATTTGTGGTTGAAGCTTACTAGAGCTGCAAATCGTATTTTAGATCCTTGAATATATTAACTCTACCGTTGAATGTTAATGGTACCGATGAATGTTAATAGAATGGTGTATTTTTGTAAAGAAAAGTCCAAAACTATTCAAAATCAATACACATTTCGTCCACGGAAACCTCAGAATTATGCTTAAAATCCACGTTGTGGCTGATACCCTGGGTTTAGTATAGAATATTATTGTGTAATTTAATTTAATTTTGATAATTTTGTCATTAATATGGTTTAAAAATAAAATTGCATGCTATTAACAATAACACAACATATTGAACTTTAACGATTTCATGACAACCTTATATGAGTACCATGTTTTAAAGCAATTAAAATTATTATGCTTATAATAAATGATTATCGTTGTATAGTTTGAAGTAAATTATTATTTGTTAAATCACAACAATCAACAGTTGCGCTCTCAACTCCAGTTGCGGGAAAGACGTAAACTAAGTTAGTAAAATGTAAAGTCATACGCAATTGGTGATGAGAGCAAATGAGGTTAGAATAAATGGTACTTTAATTAATTGTATTTAAATGAAGTCAAGGATAAATTCATTGAAAAGCATTTTATTTACAAGGTCGCTTACCCATTTAAAAAATGCAAACTATGAAAAAGACACGTGTATCGTAAGCTACCATGAGCATGCCACTATTACAATGTTCGTCGTGGTATGTTGCTGTCTTTTAACTTTCTAAAAAGTACGAATTGGCAGACGAGATGTATAATACTGCTCGATTAACATTGCATCTCTCTATAGCTAAAGTGAAAGTTATTACCGTAGCAAGCCAGAGTTGAAAAGTAAAGGAACGATTTTAACGATATCATGACGTACGCGTAGCGAGTGCACTTATTTCGAAACGCTGCAAATAGGCTCGGTGAATGTATGTACTTAACAAGTATGAAATAAGGTTGCAATTTGAGCACCTTTTCAAGCAATATAGTTTTGTTTTTTGTTATAATTTACGCTTCTTTCCAACTTTTAAACAGTCGATATTAATATGTGATTATACTAAGAATATTAAATCTATCTATTTAAAATTACCCTTATTAAATATTTCTTAGTACTTAATTTTAACAAGCAATCCGATGGCACAATGGATGGTCGGCATGTTCGGTTTGCCATTGCGGAGCTTATGGTAAAAATCGAAGAGGTGCCCAAAACCATAGTAGGTAGGTAATAGGTATTATATCTGTATTGAACTATATTGATTAGTACATCACCGTTCTTCGAAAGGCATAAGCCCAGTTAAATGATTAAAGTGACGTTCCGTTAGATGCACAAACGTGCATTAAACTTTAATAACACCTTTAAGCTCTAATGAATGTCAAATATGTATGGGTAATGTCGCCTTAAACTAACGAATGTTCTAATTTTTAAATTTAGAACATTCATAAGAGCTTATAGTCTTCGTTAAACCACACGTTTGTGAGTGATCGATAGTTCCACAATCCTATTAATATTATAAAGGCGAAAGTTTGTAAGTATGGATGTATGGATGTTTGTTACTCTTTCACGAAAAAACTACTGGACGGATTTGGATAAAACTTTACAGCAATATAGGTTATACATCAGAATAACACATAGGGTACTTTTTACTGGGAAAACTTCTCACTCCCACGGGATACCGACTTCCACGCGGACGAAGTCGCGGGCGTCCACTAGTGCTCTATAAAAAAGTGCAGTTCCAGCTACTTTGCCGCTCTAGGCAAAAAAATGTGTACGCCTTGTCATTAGTATCCTGCGTGGCCAAATGGCTCGCGCGCCGGTTTCAAGACGTTTTGTTGCCATTTCTGTGGTCCCGGGTTATATTCCCGGTCAGATTAATGGAGAAAATTAATTTCTCTTAGTCTTTATAGTACAGTACGTATTATGGGATTAAAATTCGAACTCAAATAAGGTTTATTTTTTCGTACTAAAATATATTTCAATGTTTATTAAATGGATAATTGTTTAAACAATAAGTAGCTTTAAAATTATATAACTAATAGACACTTGAACCAAAACATGGTTATTGTTATTCTAAAGCATTTGTAATTTTAATGATAAAATATTATTTCCTAACGTCATTTACATATTTAATGTCTATAAATTATTTTATGAAGCTTAATAGAATCTTATAAATAATAATTATTGTTAATCAACTACAAAAGATCAATGTCTCGGCAGTCTTGTATAGACAGTGTTTCCACATGGATTGACTATAGGATCATCCGCAGCAGTAACTACTTACATCAAAGTACTGTGAACCACGAATACCCTATCGATGCTATTATCGCAAGAACTGACTGACTAACGTAGAAAAATACTAGAGGGCATCAGTTGACACTGAAAGCAATGAAACTTTTGACAACTTAAATGAGTTTTGGAAAGGATTTTTTATGAGATACCTATTGCAAAGGTGTGATGGTTCTAGCAGCATCTAAAATATGTGTCCGTTTTAAAATAAGCGTTTTTTACTTATTGGTTGCCTGCGATGTCTTAATTTCAATGCAAGGATCCGAAAGACAATAAATTAACATCAATTTTACTGTTACCACAGTTTTTAGGGACATTCGTAGAAATTCTTTTCTATTTGTACACACGTGTTCTTGACCGAAATAAACCTATTTAAGGCCGGACATCATTAAACAGAAAAAAAAGCAACTTTACCAAAAAAAAAAGTATTACGATAGATATTGCGTCTTTGTTCTTTACAACAATACCTATAACCATTTCAAAGGAAATAATAATAAAAAAGAAAGAATCAAAACTATTGCTTCCAGATGTTAGCGTATTCCATTAAACGGAACCAAATTATCGGTGAAACTTAACAATTTAGAATAAAGTTCACTGACTTGTCTCAGTTGCACAATAATTGCATCGGTGAAACTTAACAATTTAGAATAAAGTTCACTGACTTGTCTCAGTTGCACAATAATTGCAGTTAAAGTCAAGGATAAAGGTTGCAATATATATGCAATGACATATATACCTAATGGGAAAATAAAGCCTTGTGTAAAGTGTCGATCACTGTTATCTGGCAGAATGTTATATTAATTCTTTCTGCATTGTTGAAAATATTATTGTAATAATTGTAGTCAAATCTCAAGAGGGAAACAATAAAGTTGTTTTTGAAGAACGAATACCTACTTAAGTGGTTGGCGTTCTGGGAACAAGGGTTGTATCGCACCATACGTCTCTCTTAACGTAGTCTTAAGCCCATTCATTCGTTGTTATTTGTAATTTGTTTTTGTGAATGCGATGATTACCCATCTAAAGTTTGGAATTTGTTTCAGAAACGTTGTGTAGTATAATTTATAGCTTGAGTCAACACTGACTTAAGATATTATATTGGCCCAAAATAATAAAATAAAGAATACTAAATAAAGAAAATATTGAACAAATAACTTTGAATTTGCTGCAATGTAAACGGTGCGCCTTGTTAATTGTATGTGGATAGTATTTTTTTTTATCGCTACAAGCCAAGCTTTGCTTAGTGTATCGCTAGAATTAAGCACACTTTGTTAAATGTTGATGGAAAATAA